CACACGCCCGGCAGGGCAAATTTATTAATGTCCGTCATAAATAACCATTTTAAAGCCCCGCTTTTTGCACGGCAGCTGGTGCCTGGGTGGGTGGTCGGGGTGGTTGGCCTTTGTTCTGCCGCAGACAAAGAATCGCTTGCGCGCACCCCTAATGGGTGTGGGCCGCGAACAGCACCACTTATCTGGGCCGCAAGACGCCGGCTTAATTATTTATGCTGGCCGCACGCCATTATTGTCACGCGGTCAGCCCTGATTTTACTGCCCAGACTCGAATGGCGGCGTCTGCTCTAGCCAAAGCAAATAGATCGTAAAACGCTTGTGCTGTTTCAGATAATATTCATTAAAATTTTTTTCAGGCTGCTATGGTATAGTTGGAAAATTGAATTTGTTAACCCACAGGTCCAATTCAATACCAATATCAATGGATCATTATTATTATTATTGTTTATTTGTCCACGTTATTTTTTTTTTTAAATTATTTATTCTTTATTCAATACATTGAAATTTGAAATACACGACATCTTACATCAAGTCAATTCTAAAAATTTAGTTTAGACAAAACATAAGAATAATGTTTGTTAGTGGGTGAATGGAAAAATGGCTTTTCGATCGCAAACAACTTGTTTAAGCACAGTACACTCTCTTTCGAAGAACGCACCGGCTGCTAGAGCCATTGGTCAGGGGGACTACGTATTACGCTTTTGCCACAGGTACGCCTTGCACAACGGTGGAAACTGTGCCGCCGTACAGTCTTGCAAGGCGGGTGGCGTGTCATTCCACGGTTTGACGTTTGATGACTCGGTGAGAAAACGCCTCGCGTTTGCTCTCGCTGCAGAGCACTAAATGCTGTCGTCGCCTCGCAGCTTTGGGTCGCGCTCACGTCAAAATCAGTCACGCCGTTAACACGTTTTGAACAAAAATAAAATGTTGATGTGCAGGAGCTTAATTTTTACAGGCATGATTTTTTGCTCCTTAACCAGTGGAAGGTTAGGTTAGATATTCGGGATTAGGTAATTATTTATTGCATTAGACAATGCTTGCCCGTTTTTGAATTGTTATTTTTGTGTTTTATTTGCCCAAATTGTAAATTGTTTTCTCGAGTTTGTTTGCCGTGCAGTTCGTGCCGGGGTGCCACGCTAGGCTTATGTATAAATGTTCTAAATAATTAGTATAATCGCTTTTTTGAGTTGTTTTGTAAAAGCTTCCACCGTAAAATTTATAATTTAGATTATATCAAAACTAAATAAACTTGAACTTTTGTAATACAAGACCTGCCCTCATTATTGTGAGATACGCAATTATTTTTACTCGCGGAGTGCACCGGTGCAAATTTCTCGAAGCAAAAACCGAGTGTCCAATGAAGTGTAATTATGAAAAATATTTCAAATTTGAATTTGTTATTTCTTTAAATGGCAAATTAAGTTTTGGGCAAAAATAATAAACTAATTTTAGTCTGTTTCTAATTTGATTGGATAACGGCAGTTAAAAAGTGGCCTTTCGTTGGATAAATTTATGTTGAAAATGATCAAACCTCCTGCAAATTATATAAATTTTAAATATTGTGTCCACATAAAAAGACACGATTTGTTATACATAGATAAACAAGTATCTAGTTGGCCACAATTCATTAAATCGTTTTTAGTATATTTAGGAATAATTCTTGATAGATTTTGCAAAATGACCATGAAAGTTTCAAACTCTACTAATTATTACTTAACAACGGAAAATGTTTGTTTCAACTTGCGGAATTTGAATATTTTTATAATTTAGTAAGCTCTATTATAGTTATATTGAGATATAGCTGTATTACAGTGACCTATTCCAAAGATTATTTCTGTACATATGTTGATCTATACGGAATAATTATTATCTGAATCTGAATCTGAATTTGGTCTGCTTCAAACTTCTTATTTTGTGTTTACTGGTTTTTTTACTTTCTTGAGCAGAAAAAACAAAAAATATTTGGCCCAAATACGCAAGATTAGCTATTTTTTAATAAACCCTAAAATTTTCTTAACCTGGCGCAAAAAAAAGAGCCCACGTATATAAACTGTCGTTTCATAAGAAAAATTCCTGGCCAGACAGCAAGCGCAAGGGACAAATTCTTGTCAATATGAAGAGCTGGCTGCTAAAATTCCTGGCCGTGGGCGAGCGAAATGCGAGTTGCCGGACCAGCCTGGTTCAAAACTGGTCCTTCTGTTCGAGTCCCTGCTTTTAAAGTGGAGAAATAATGCGACTGTTGGCAAAGTAATAAACGGCCCACGCTGCAGCTTAAACTCGGAATCTGCTCTCCATTGGCTTGAAAATAAATGCAGCCTGGGAAGATAGAGCTTTTGCAGCTTCTCCAGCGCGTACGTGGGAGTTGATCGTTTATCACGCGATTTTATCTGCTCCGCCAGCCCGGGGAGAAACTAAGCGAATCGCATTTGCACCCTCGAGACATGGTGCGAATGAAGAGCCCCCTTAACAACACACCGCCTCACTGTTAAGATGTGTTGGGCGCGGTGATAAGAAACGTTCAAGGAAAAGGCTTTGTTAGTAATTTAAAGAAAAGCTTAGTTTTTTTTATCAGTGTGTAATTTTCCTTTATTTTACATAAATCCTAATTTTTAAAAGTAAATTGGAAGAACAATATAATTATGATAAAATTGTTCTATTTTATTTTTATTTGTGAATTATTAGCAATAATAAAATATCAAATCAATTTAAACTATTAAAATTAAGCGGCAAAAAAATAAACTTTTGATGTATGTATTTAAATTGTTTACACTAAATTTTGTCAAAAGCGACCTTTTTCTAAAATTTTTTTATGGCTTTCAAATGTGTCATGTGCTTTTTGCTATAAAGAAATTCCGCCAGAATTCCACTGAAATATTTTGCTGAAAATAAATCAGCAAGAATAAAATAATTACTGTTTTGATTTTAATTAAATAATTATATTAATTGTAAAATCACTTTCCGTCTCATGGGATTTTGATTGATTAAACCAACACATTCCGAGTTCTCTCAACCAGGCGCCGTCAACTGATTTCCATTACAGCTCGTGCGTCGCGTGAAACCCAGCCATATACATTTTTTTGTCCATATTCACAGCGCTTCATGTAATATGAAGCAGGTGCTTTTATGTGGAGCAAAATTTAATATGCATTCACTTTGAGCGCGACTTTTTAATCACACAGCCCATATTTTATTGAAACTTTCAGCGTGTACATCCCACACAAAGTGTGGAATTGAAATCGCACCGGAGCAGAATAAATAGGCAAATGTAAATGCCGCGTTTTTGGATCGCTCTTGCACTGAGGGCATTTGAGACGAGGACTCTTTCATTCTCACTCTTGACACATGACACAACATTGAACGTATATGCAATCTGGCGATCACCTCTGCCCGACCGGTTGCATAATTTGCCCCTTTGTGCAAGATGGTTCAGAATGAAGCCTTATTGTTAGTAATCGCAAAGGCATCATCGTCAACTTTTGATTGTTAAAATATTTTTTCAAAATATCCGCTTTTTTATTAATTAATCAATAAAAAAGATTATTATCATTGGTGTCGTCCAATTGCTACATCACATTGTTTACATTAAATTTTTGAAAACAATTTGAGAAAAGAAATTGTTTAGCCAAGTGGCTCCGCCATTAGCAAGAATTTTTTATTGAAAATGGATAGCAACATGCAAAATTTTATATAGAATTTTAAATTATTATTTTATAAATGTATGTTTTGTTGCCCGTTGGAGCTTCAAAAAGATAACAGCCTGTGTCTGTGTGTCTGTTATTTTATAATAAAACGTGGCACAGTGCAGATTAAGTTTCAAGCCTTTTTTATACGCTACTCGTCAAGGTACAGAAGAAAGCAGAGATGACTGTCGGTGGCCTTTGTGACAACTATGCGGTGCCAGGGTTGTGATTAATTCGGGGAGCTTTGCTGCGGTTCAAAAATAAACATCAGCGAGAGCAGTTTTTTAGTGTAGAACGTTAAATCTATTTTTTTTGGCGCGTACGCCAGCTGATTCAATATTAACAACCTGAGAGTGCGCCAAATTTTGTTTCCTTAAAAAAATTTCTTTTTAACCTTTGATCCAGATTTTTTGCTTTGAATAAAACACGTGTACAATTAAAAAGACCACAAAGTGGAAAACATACCGAGGTATTGACAGATTGTTTTTCATTCACCAAAGCTCTGCGATGCATGTTATTAAGCAACGAGAGCAAATTAAACGAACAAAGCGTGACTGTGGATTGCAAATGTTTTGTTTTGTCTGTCGGCACAGGTATAATTACGCAAAACCATGTCCCATAATGTAAAATCGTGGGCAGAATGAATGTACAAGACCTGGGTACTCATTGCGGGTAGTAGCGGAAAATCTAACAACGTACAAATCTCATTAAAAATCATCCCGATCTGATGCATTCAAATAGATTTGAAGTTTTGTAGTTATTCTATGGTTTCGCCATAGTTCCTGCCGTGCCGTTTCTTGATTAGTGAAGAATAAATAATTATAATGACTAATGAGTATGAAATTATTATTTATGGTTATAAAAAACATTAAATATAAAATATAATACAATGTTATGATGTCTTTTATAAAAAGTAAGTTATTATATCGATTATGAGTTTCAGTGAGTTCATCACTAGCACAGCACTGTGTGCCTGTTTTTAACCAATTTTTTATAGTTGATGGTTTTGACTTGTTTGGAGAATAATAAATTGAATTTAATTATTTAATTAAGAAAGATTAAAAGCAATCCTTGTGCCTAATTATGTATTTACTCAACCATAAAGATAATTTATGATCGATGCATCTCGATATGGGCAGCGATTGCCTCTGTGATATATCAATAAATATTATTTGCAACTAAAGAGAAGAAAAGAAAATATAAAAATATATTTTTGAAATTATCATTGGGTAATGGAACGTCTCTTTACAATTTACTGCACACTCCAGTAAAACTCCACTTGGTGATCATTGAAGGTAAAAATTTTTTCGTGCGTTTCAGACGGCGCGGAGTTGGGTGGAAGCCAACTTTCAGAAACGAGAGTGCATCAAGTTCATCCCGACCAAGGCCGACGAGCACCGGTGAGTACTGCTTTCGCCCATTTCTAGTCTTTCCGGCCCAGTAATTCTCGCGCCGTATTACCACCTCGCTCAGCCAGTTAAAGTTAGTACCGCTATCTAGTCGGCAGCGACCGCCCGCCCGCGCGAAACTACCAACTTAATGACTTAATACCTTAATTAATTTCGCAGCGCGGCTCCAAAATCTGGAGCAGCTCGTTGCTTTGCCCTCGGGACGAAGACGTTTAATCAGCGCGAGGGTTGCCAATCCGACACACAATTTTGTCCATAACGCACGCCTGAGAAATTTTGATTTTCTCGAGGGGGTTGAACTCGGGAAAGTTTTGAATTTCGGGGCTACTGGGAGATTGCATTCCAAATTCCTAAACATTTTAGAGGAAATTGCAAGAGTATTATTTCTAACTAACGCATAACTTCAGTTTTCGTTGATTATGATTAATTGCTAATTTCAATTTCAGAGAATTTATTATCAAATTCTATGCAGTACAAAAACCTTAGATTTGCTAAATTATATTTGAAGTTTGAAGCTTGAGAAGAAAAATATGTATTGGAAGATCTTTGCGTAATTTTTATTTACTATTTCGAGTAGAAACTAGAGTTTACAAATGTTTCATGATAAAGATGCATTATTTTCCCCATTTTTCATTGGTTTTGTGTTACAGTTTTCGTTGCAACAGAAGCTTATGAACTCGGTCAGTTTTATCCTATAATATTTATAAAAAAAGCTTTTCAATCGGTACCCAAAAACCAATTTGGATTTAAAACAAAGAATTTTTAAATTTTAATTGCTTCCAAGTCCTTTAATTAAAATAATATAATAATTTTAGAGAATTACTTTAGTAAAAAATAGGAATTTACAATATCCAACCAAGAATCCTCCTTTCTAGAATAAGCCTTTTTGGTAGTTGTTACACTTTTATTTGTTACCAACATAAAAACAAAGCCATTAAAGACTTGAGTATATCTCTTAAAACGTCATTCAGCTTTCCAGAGCTCTGTTCAAATTACCCGTTGTGAGCCAGAACAAGAGGGAAGGAACATAAATAACACGGGCTCCTCCAACAATTCATCTGCCGGTGATCGCTTTTACACACAATTTCCCACTCGCCTGTCATGCTGGTGGGCGGCATTTGGCTGTCGATTTATGTGAATCCTTTGTTTATACGCCTCTCAAAATAATCCCCGGCAGCACAGCTAATAATTTTAAAAGAGAGCAGAGAAAAATAACAAAAATCAATCCAGAAAAACGGAGCTGATTCAGAGTGTATTTTCGTGATGTGCGTTTATTTTATTTGTCGGGGTCGAGATTGGATGGCCCAAGTTGAATCCCCAGAGAAATGCATTACCGTCTAGTCGCTCTAATATTGGACTTCGGGCTCGTTTGGATTCGGATCCGTTTACGTGCGACTGCATTCATGAAAAAGTGGCCCGATTGAAAGATCTGGCAGTTGAAGACTGACGTTTCTCGTGCTTTGACGTTTTTACCACCACACTCTTGTTGAGTTTGGGGAAAAGGAAAGCAGATTTAAAAAACAGTACAAGGAGGTTGATGTTGTGATTATGGAATTCATATTATGTAATACTGCTGAAAATACCTGATTATGTGTTAGAGACTTTTAAAATCATATACCATTTGTGATTCAATCATTTCGTAGCGAATCACAATGGCAATTTTTCATTGCATTGTGCTGGCGAGAAGTTTTTTTGCACAGATCAATCCATTACCGCTAAGTGGATTACTTTTCCTGCTCCTTTTGCGATCGTTCACTCTTTCGATTGGATTTTAATCTCAAGAAGTCCCGCTCACGTCTGCGTCTTGCGGCGAGAACAAGTGGGTCAGATAGGGCTATTTATCCAGCCTTTTGCGGTCACCCTTTAATAAGCTCATCTGCGGAAAGACAAAGGCGGTCTGATGCATTTCCACAAGTTCCAGCCTCTAGTCGACAAAGCCTCTCTGATCTGCCTTGGAGGCAGATTTACGTATTCGCCGCGTGCACTTGCAGCTGAGCAGCCGGCGAGAGAGTCTAACGACCTGTTTTGTAATCTCCGCGACGCAGCACAGCATCCTTGTTGTGTTGTTATTTACGAAAACGGCCGTCTGCCAACGACGTTTCCCGGCGGCACTCGTATAAATTTAACTGTGAACAGGTCTCTCAGAACTAAATTGATTCTGAAGCAAAAAATTTATGCTCGCTTGTAAGGAAATTAAAGTTCTGTAAGTTTTCTCAGAAGCAACGACATTTTTGCACAATTTCCTGCTTTTCTTTTAATGAGCTAGTGCCTCCAGCCAGATTCGTCTCCATGAAGGAAGATTTCTAATTTTCCGCACGGAGCGAAAAGCACATTTTTTGCCGAACGAATCAGTTTTCAGTTTTCACGCACTGATCGGAAGTTACATGAGAGAGACGAAAAAATTGTATGACAGGCGATTTTTTTTTTCGTTAAAGCGGTTGCCACAAAAAGAGCAAAAGATGGGGCCTCCAATTTTGCTTTAGTAAACACTCCATTCACGTTTAGCTAAAGTGGATCTCTTTTCAGTTGCTCGGCTTCGCGGAAATCTAATCAATTAGGCATCAATCTCGTCCGCCTTTCGGTCTTTTCTTGACGAGAGTGGAGAAGTCTTACATCTGATGTAACCCGAGCTATAGAAGCCGTTGCGAGCTCTATTGCTCAATCTCTATTTAGCGGACCGATTTCAGACTGCTGACACCAAGTATCAGTCAGTACCCTGCTGTCAATTAGGGTAATTGGGCAGCCACCCGCATTAATTGGATTATAATCCACCTACTTGTGTTGAATGAGATATTCGATGGCTATGTTCTAGCTTTTGGTTTGTTTTGGTTTTGGTCAAATCATATCCAACTTAAAAAAATCAAAAAATTTAAAAAAAGAACAAAAATTAACCATCAATCTGCTGAAATAAATAAATCCTTTCCTATCTATCCCTGTCAATTCTATTTCTTTGCTAAATTTCATTTTTTTAATACCATTCTTTTATTTTAAATGAAACAAATATTATCAAGTAGAATAAACCGTGAATGCACTAAGTACTTTAAAGTACCTTTTTTTTAAATTTCATGCTATAAAGTTGTAAAATTATTATTATTTTTATTATTATTGTTGTTGTTTGTCCAACATTACATTAAATTTTTGAAAACGGTTTATTTTGAAATGGAACTGTTTTACAAAACGGCATCACAACACTAGCAAGAAATCCGCTTACTACTTGTCTTCTTCTTCAGCAAAACCTAATACTTTTAGCGCTGATTAAAATACTTACCCACTTCATATCCAAATCCATGAGCAAACTTCAAACTCGAAAACCAAACGTACAAATTGGGAAATTTGCTCTGCAACCAAAATAATTAAATTATTTGCAGAGAGCGTGTATGGTTCGTGCCCCAAAACCCGTGGATTATTATCAGGCCGACGAGGGGATATGTATGATTTAATAATAAAAGGACGCAGCAAGGCGTCGGTTTTGCTTGCGAGCTCTAGCCTGGCAAAACTTGCGCTCGAAGCAAAACACCAGCGCCAATCTGTGCTGTCTGGAGCGCCACGACTGTAATCAGCGTAATTGCCGGCAGTCTAAAATTCCGCGCCGCCATGAAATTCGCAGACAAGCTATTTGAGGAGGCTGCTGGCTAGCGAGCCCCCAAAACAAGGATACGTAATTTGAATAAATTACTACGACACGCGCGCAGCACCCCGTCGTTCAGTTGAGAAAAGAAAAACTAACTGCTCTTTTCTGTGGGGGAGTAATCAGGCGACCATTGTTGTCGTTGTTTGACGAGAGCATTGTTTTCAAGCCGCTCGAAATGACGCAAATAACATTCTTCGACTTCATTTGTGCTGAAAGAGCAGTGTATATAATTTTTTCCTCTACAATATCATTATTGATTTCAGTTTACAGACGTGTTTTAATGCGTTTTTTTTTTATTAAATAAATTGAAAAAATTCAAAAAGTACATTAGGCACCTGCGGATCATGAAGCATAAAAATGGAATCGTTCTTGATGAATTTTTTTAGCAATTTTTGTTACGCAGATGGCATTTCTCTTCAAATTTGGCAACCGTCTCTAAATAATCAAATAATATATGATTGATTTCTTGATAAAGATTGTTTTACTCTATTGTGTGATGCAAACCAACAAATTTTTGTATGAACTTATGTGCTATGTATTTGGGCATTAATTGCCTGATCCTGATGGTAATAGAAAACCTTGCATCTGCGCAGATATAATAAAAAAAGACTAATATTCCAAAACCTATTTTAAAGTTGTTATACTGAACACATGGGAAAAAAATTAGCAAATTGATCAATTGATCTCGGCGCGGAACTCTCTTGAGGTCCCGCGTTTTAGCAACTTTTTTTGGCCGTTTCTACACATTTTGTAGTTTTCGTTCGTATTTGACTTTATTTGTGAGGAATAATTAACAATAGAAATAATTGTGCAGAAAAAACATAGACATACACACACAAAGCGTTTTCATAACAATGGGTCACACAATCGAGCGTTTTAGCATCCAATTTGCAGCTTACACGTTTTAGCCCCAAAAGAGACGGGCAGCACCTTTTTTTTATAGATATTTATTGATTCAAATATCTAATTTAGGACTAAAAACCGATGAGTTTAGATTAGATTAACAATATATATGAATTATTTATTAAATAATAATAAATATATCTTTCAAATAAAAAAATATTTGTTGCATTAGACATATTAGTGCATCTCCAATTTGTGTTTACAGTAAGTCAATAAAGTGTTTGTACTCTAAACTACTATCGCAGTCAAAATGTATTTCTAGAGGCGGCGCCGCAGGTGGATTTCGGCGCCGTTGTCGACGAGCAGGAAGTACGCGTGCCGATTGTTTAGCACGGCAAACATTGACCTGCAATCGAGAAAAAAACTCATGGATAGTTTGCGGTGGTTTGCGCCGGTCATTGGTGCGGAATAAAGCGGTCAGGTCCAACTTTTTTTGGTGAACAACAATAAAAAGTTAGAGACAAATAGAGAGAACATATGGTGGAAAGAAAGTTTTCATCGAGTTTCATTAAAGTCTTCAGATAGGCCAGATTTAATGAGAAATTTTGTTTGAATTAGATATTTTGAGGCGTTTTAACCGCGGCAGATCCTCTTCTGAGAACATTCGCTTGCACTCTTCACGGTTTCCACATAATCCACTTTGTTTCAAATCACATTCAAGACACGCAGTGTTAAATTGTTTGCATTCAATAATTGAAAAGCCGTTTGTTCGTTTTGAATGAACGGGAAATTGTTGGATAAAATGGCACAATCACTAGAAAAAATAATTCGATCGAAATTGGCAGGAGAAGATTATGGAAGAAAACGGGCTTTGTCCTTGTTGAAAATTGTTTTTGTTGGCCATACCAGTTTCGGTCATGGCTGCGATCCTAGATCCTATTTCGTAAGTAAACGAGCTGCTCGCTGATTAATGCAAGAAAAAATAATACAATTAACAAGCATATCACCAATACAAAATTGCAAACATTTCACTGTGAAAAGCCGCAAAATATTTTCGCAACTATATTTTTCCAGCTCTTGGCGCTGTTTTCACATGGAAGCAGATAAGACAGAGGCGTTAATTTATTTTACTGAGGGTGGATATTCTCATTATCGTCAAACACCATTTTAAAGCAAGTAATTTCGCTGAATAAACTCGTCCTTCCGCAAAGATAACTCCGCCAGAGAAGCGTAGAAACATTCCGTTTCATTACTCTTCCTCCACAATAGCATTCCACCTTGAACACACAATGCATCATAAAGCTCTATTTCTTCCACACGGGAACACACTATTTATTTTCTCCTCGCACAGCAGCCCTCTCGTGACCAAGTAAAAGTGTCGGTTTTCGCTGCAGTGCGGCCGCTGTGTGCAGCGGCGGCGGCAGTCAGGTGGCGATCGATGCACCAGCCACGCATAAGGAACGCATTCCGCCGCGGCCGGGCCTTTGGCTGCCCCTAGAACAGTCGACCGACCACCCCTCGGAGCCGACCAACAGGTCGTTCAAACATGGGCTTGCCGCTTCGCAATCGGAACAAAAGCCCACTACTTAGTTTCACCTGCAAACGATTGAGCGAACTTTGTTCAACTGTTTATTGCTCTTGATGTTTTATGGCTGAATGGGGAGAGTTTACGAGAGGTTTATTCCCTGGGGGATCAGCTTTGGATTAGTTACCAGGTAGAAAAATTAGGCTTGTTATTTTACAAATCATTTATTAATTATTAATCTATTTATAATTTATACCACGACTCTCTGAATTTTCAAAATTTATCTTCAGTACTTTTTACAAATTTAACTCCAAATTAAATCTGAACGCAAATACAACTAAAATAAAAAACCTGCTGCTTTATAGGTTCAAGAAAAGTTTGTGTTTGTTGAATTTCAGTTTGCTAGTTTATTGTAAAAATACGACTATTGCATAGACGATTGGACGTCTAGGTACTAATTAAAATTTTTATACCTCGTATGTGACTGGCGTCAAGGCAACTCAAACACACATGATATTTAAATAGAAATGGAAATAATTGGGTGGTGCCTTCTGCACCATCAGTAAAGTGCACAGTCTTGTCTTGGCCTGACCCTAAAAGAAATGTATGTGGATTTATACTGAGAAAGCTAAACATGATAATTTTTCTACAGTCATAAGTCAATAAATATAAAATAAATAAGTGTCAAATTTCTCAAAAATCTAAATAAAGTCATTCAAAATCATTCCTCTTAAACTTTTAAAATGTTTTATAGAAGGCACGCAAAAACTCAGTGGCTCCAGTAGTTCAATCCTTTCAATCACAAAGTTTTTTTTAGGAAATTTAAAAAATCAAGAAAAATTGTTAGTTAATTTTTTGCTTCAAGAAATGCAGAATTCATACAAATTCAAAAGATTGGTAAAACGTTTGTTTAAATCACTAAATTATGATATTTGATTTCTTTTGTTTGTCAAAATTTCTAGTTACTTCGAGATGGAAGTTTTGTTTACAAGAAATCCATTCAAGGACTAAAAATATTCTCCGTCCATTCAATCAATTGAAGCAACCAGAAGCAGAATTTTGTAAAAATACCTACCAAGATTGAGTCGCGTTCGTGTCTCCTTTGACCAATCATCGCTGCCTATATTTTCCGTTGGCAAATCCAGCTCGGCTCAAAGAAAATCCTCATTCATCGAACTGACAAACCGAACAACTTTTTATGTTTCTCCTGTGCGTCCTAACGAAAATATTTCCCTTCTCGCAATTTTTGCATTGGCCTTTTCAATCCGCACTGCATTGTCGCTGGGAGAAAAAGAGGAACTCTCATGCGTTCCCTTTTTGTCCCCGCTCTCTAGCAAATCCAATTCTGCGAAAAATGCTCCTTTCGCAGCACACACAGAAATTTAAATTGCTAAAGAGGAAAATAAAAAGCCGTCAGCCAGGCTGGAAACTCGATGCGCTCATGGGGGAAGTGCTCCATATGGCATTCAAACAAGAGGCATCAATGAATACTTTATGAAAAAAAAAAATAAGATTTTTCTTTTTAATTTTCTTTTTTTTTCTCTCTGAAGACTTAGTCATTAAATTTACGCGTTTATTTATTCTGCATTCAAATACATTGAAATACACAACATCTTACATCAAGTCAATGCACAAAATTAATTTCTTCCCTCTTATAATTATGGTTTTAAACAAATTTTTAATTACCATCATAAATACAATGCTGATATGATGGATGCAATTTGATATTTTAGTGGCCAATTTCAAAGATTATTTTCTGTGCATACGTTGATCTATACGAAATTAATATTATTCGTATAAAATTAATCCCCAATTAAGTAATAGACCAGAATATTATTTTCTATGATATTTTGAGTGAATTTTATATATATTTACACATTTACAGCCTTTAATCTTCTTAATGATTAGAGGAAAAAGGACTGACATTTTTTTAAATCTTTTTAATAAACATGATGCACTTCCCTTGACTTTGATAAAGAAGACTTCATTCCTCCCACCCAACTTAAAGTTGGTAAATTACGCTCTGCCAAAGTGGCCGCGCGCAGAGCAGCATTCGCCAGTTTGCCACCGTGCAGCACTTAATTTATAGCCGCGCGATATTTGCTCTGCTTTAATATTTAATATTTGCCCAGTCGCTTTGTTTGCTCCGTGTGATTGCAGGCGGGCTTGATTTCATTAGCTGTGCGCAAAAAAAGCGCATTGCAGCAGGATTTTTTTCTTTTTGCGAAAGGATGAAGGAGGAAAAACTCTGACAATAGCATCCTTTCTCATGCATATTTGCGAGCAATGGAGGGGGAAGACAAATAGTAAGTCTGTAAAAAGGTTGACGTGCAGCCGTCGCGCCCGCCCGTCTGCTTGTTGCTGGTATTACAAATTTAGTTTATTGCAAACCAAAATAATAATGTTGCAAGTAAGGGGTTTGCATATTATTATACTGACTGATTATTTAATTGTTTAATAAATTCTATTGTTTGGGGTATTCTGTTAAAACAAATTGGGTCAGCTTACAAACGGGCTTTATTTAACACAACAATTCTGGTAGAATGGTAAATTTCACTGACTCGAAATTGTTAGTTTAATGTCTCTTGGAAAATAAACAAATGGGAGCGGTGTTCCCTGGGTAGGCCGGCTGGCTGCCCTGGAAACGTCCTTGCTGGGAACCCGGACGGCTCCCTGCAGGTCGGCGGCGGCTCTCGGCGCGGCCGGGGCCCACGGCGTGCGGGTCTCTGGCGGCGGACGTTCGGACGCCTTCGTCCGAGCGCTCGCTGGCGGCGTGCCACGTCGGCGCCCGATTCCTCGGACAGGAAGGAGCTGGGGACATAAACAATTGGTCACTCGGCTGTACTTCCGTCTCACGTAGTGGTTTGACCTTTCGGCCAAAAGAAGGCCTCAGGGAGAGACTAATTGGAATCTCTCTTACCTGGCAAAATTGCTCCGTACGGCTTCGGACGGCTCAGCCGCATCCGGGACAGTACGAGGGACACAGGTGTGTCTCTCGAAGGGCTCGGGACGCGGTCGGCCTTCCGGCTGTTCTCGGACGAGACAGCGCCGGGACAGGACAGCGGTCGGCGCCGTGGGACAGCTCGGACGGGTGCGAAGGGATCGGACGGGCGTCCGAAACTGCACTGGGTGTCCAGGTGTCCTGCGAACAGAGAGCAAAGGGTTAATGCTCTCCGTCAGCTGGCTCGAGTGTCGAAGCTTTACCTCTGATTTCTCTGAGGTCTGTCAGCCTTCTGCATCGAGCCAGCGGACGGAGCGCCTTTTATAGCGCGGGTAGCAGCCCTGGGAGGGTCGCGCAAAACCCACCCACCCATTTGATTTACATTGAGAACTTTCTAGATGCATCTAGAAAGTTCTGTGAATCTGCAGTTGAATTCTAAAATGCCTTTATAAATTCCCTTGAAGTGAATTGGAATCCCATGAATTGTACAAGCTAATTCCAATTGAATTTATAATAATTATTTGTAAATTTAAAGCTACTTTAAATTTAAAATAAACGCAATATTTATTTAAAAGAATTCAACTCAAAACAATTGCCAGAAATAAAAAAAAAGAATAATTAAAAAGAAAGCCCTTAAAAAATGAATTTAATTGTAAGCCGAAAATTAATTGATTAATAATAATAAAAAAAAACAATGAAGTTCTCCGATGACACAGCCACAGTCAAAACAAACAAATTAAGAGAGGAATAAAATAATTATTCCACACCAAATCCCCCTCTTTTGACTGGCGGCTGTGGTCAGCTGTGACTGGATGATCTCCAGGACGATTGCCAGGACGACGTACTGCACGTAGACTGTCCAGATCCTGAGCTCATGGCGCTGTCCTCAAGGAAAAACGTCGTGGGCACCATAATCACGCGTGAATCCGGCCTTGTTGTTGTTGTTTTTCGCATGCGGCGAGGGCGAGGTCTTGGTTCTTTGTGTGCTGATTTTTCCTTCTCCCTCTCCTGGCTTGATGGCGAACTTGGTTGTGGCGCCACTCTCATCTCTCTCCTGCTGATTTTTCTTCCCCCTCTTGTGAAAAGTTCATTGACTTTTTGGCCGCCACAGATAACAGCTGGCCCACGTTGTTTATTTGCCGCACTCGTTGTGGTTTTTTGTGTGGGAGTTTTAATGGCAAATTCGGCCTTATCTGTCGGTTGTCGGCGTTGTCGGCGGTGCCGTCGGCAAGTAAATGCATGCTGGGCGATGTGGTCGGCAGGTGGGGTAAGTTTTGGCTGTATTAACCGGCTCAATGCACTCAAGATTTTCTCTTCATTTGCAGAAATTTTGTCTTCGTAAACCTGATTGGACACTGTGCGACACGGCAAGCTCGCTTTAGAAGCCCTTTGTTGTCGTCGCTTGAACCGTCTTTTCCGTCGACGTTTCTCTTTACGAGTCGCAGAAGGGACGTGGTCGTTGCTGGCGGATGGTCGGTGGGTATGGACAATATCCTTTTGGTTTGACGGAGGTGAGAATGGACATGGAGCGTGAGAGGTGGAGTTGCTGGTAAATAAATTTTCTGAAAAAGTTGCACTATTTTCATTCACATTTTCTTCGTTCCCCCTCAGGTTAGAAGGTGCTTTGGATGAACTTGATTCTGTCTGTTCATGGAAATTTGACGGAAATGGTGGAAGCACTGCACCAGGTGGAATGGCTGGCAGCCATTGTTGGGAGGAAAACGGACTGGAGAGTGGAGGAACTGCCGATGAGTATTGCGGACTCGAAGCAGCGGGAAATGGCCCTGGCCAGCGTTGGTTCATTTGAGGGTGGCTTCTGAAGGCAGCAAGTGGAGGAAAATTTTGTTGTTGAGGGAAACAGTGTTGGTGAGTTTGCCTATTTTCCTGCTGGAAGTCTTCATTTAATCTATCTTTAATGTGTTTGGCAGTTTCTTCAACGAGAATGGCGATTTTGCGTGCCTCAAGAATTGATTTTGGCTGCCGGATGTACACCTGCCAATAAAAGTCGACTCGTAGGCCCCGGATGAAAATGCGCAGGAACTCCGCTTCTCTAATGTCAAAGTTTTGTTTTAAACTTAATCCAACAATGGGTTGTTCATGGTGCCACAATTCGTCTGCCAGCCCTCTCAATCGTAGGTAAAATTCCTCTGAACTTTCCCCCTCAAGCTGACAGGCTTTTACAAATTTTCTGTGCAATTGCAGGGTGCTTACTGGCGGCTCAAATTCGTCTTGAAAAACTTTCTGGAGTGAGGAGAAGTTGCTGATGGTGGCCTCGTCAAGATGCTTAACAAACTCCCTTGCTCGTCCAGAAGTGCGGAAAAGTAACAACCACCACACATCTTTTGGCTGCAGTTGTTGGTAGGTGAAAAATCCAGCAATGCTGATAAGAAAATCCTCCAGCAATATTTTGTCTCCAGAGAATACAGGGATTAATGTCAAGTCCAACTTGGGTTGAAAATATTGCCCATTTTGTGTCTGGTTGGACAATTGTGTAGTGTGTAGTGTTTTTCCCCTGTTTTCTATTTTTTTGTGTAATTTGTCATAAAATATTTGCTGACCAGTTTTTATTTCAGGTCTCTCTGTGAGTACATCTGGTTTTGGCGCCTCGTCATGATTGATGTGGGACACTGGGTGTTCAGGCAGCAGTTGGCCAACCTGTGATGCGCCGTCCAAGGGGAGGAGGTGCTCCTGAGGGTGCAGGACATCCACCTGAGTGTACTGCTGGTATTGGCAAGAAAGAAGTGTTTGTTGTTGTTGAAGTGGGAGGGAAATTTGTGCAATTGGGTTGTTGTCGTCCGACTTGTACAGCTGTAGAGTCTTTCCAGGGTCACACCCTCCAGGGTCACACCCCGTTGTTGTCTGCTCAGCAGCCAGGGGTCCAAAATGAATTTGATTTAAAAATAAAGGAGACAGTTGTTCTTTGTCTGCCATTGTATTTTAACAAAATAAAGTTGTAAAAATTGTGTAAATTGTAATTTGTTTATCGTGTTTGTCAGTATAATCCCCAGGAGTGCCAGGATCGCCAATTGGTATTACAAATTTAGTTTATTGCAAACCAAAATAATAATGTTGCAAGTAAGGGGTTTGCATATTATTATACTGACTGATTATTTAATTGTTTAATAAATTCTATTGTTTGGGGTATTCTGTTAAAACAAATTGGGTCAGCTTACAAACGGGCTTTATTTAACACAACAATTCTGGTAGAATGGTAAATTTCACTGACTCGAAATTGTTAGTTTAATGTCTCTTGGAAAATAAACAAATGGGAGCGGTGTTCCCTGGGTAGGCCGGCTGGCTGCCCTGGAAACGTCCTTGCTGGGAACCCGGACGGCTCCCTGCAGGTCGGCGGCGGCTCTCGGCGCGGCCGGGGCCCACGGCGTGCGGGTCTCTGGCGGCGGACGTTCGGACGCCTTCGTCCGAGCGCTCGCTGGCGGCGTGCCACGTCGGCGCCCGATTCCTCGGACAGGAAGGAGCTGGGGACATAAACAATTGGTCACTCGGCTGTACTTCCGTCTCACGTAGTGGTTTGACCTTTCGGCCAAAAGAAGGCCTCAGGGAGAGACTAATTGGAATCTCTCTTACCTGGCAAAATTGCTCCGTACGGCTTCGGACGGCTCAGCCGCATCCGGGACAGTACGAGGGACACAGGTGTGTCTCTCGAAGGGCTCGGGACGCGGTCGGCCTTCCGGCTGTTCTCGGACGAGACAGCGCCGGGACAGGACAGCGGTCGGCGCCGTGGGACAGCTCGGACGGGTGCGAAGGGATCGGACGGGCGTCCGAAACTGCACTGGGTGTCCAGGTGTCCTGCGAACAGAGAGCAAAGGGTTAATGCTCTCCGTCAGCTGGCTCGAGTGTCGAAGCTTTACCTCTGATTTCTCTGAGGTCTGTCAGCCTTCTGCATCGAGCCAGCGGACGGAGCGCCTTTTATAGCGCGGGTAGCAGCCCTGGGAGGGTCGCGCAAAACCCACCCACCCATTTGATTTACATTGAGAACTTTCTAGATGCATCTAGAAAGTTCTGTGAATCTGCAGTTGAATTCTAAAATGCCTTTATAAATTCCCTTGAAGTGAATTGGAATCCCATGAATTGTACAAGCTAATTCCAATTGAATTTATAATAATTATTTGTAAATTTAAAGCTACTTTAAATTTAAAATAAACGCAATATTTATTTAAAAGAATTCAACTCAAAACAATTGCCAGAAATAAAAAAAAAGAATAATTAAAAAGAAAGCCCTTAAAAAATGAATTTAATTGTAAGCCGAAAATTAATTGATTAATAATAATAAAAAAAAACAATGAAGTTCTCCGATGACACAGCCACAGTCAAAACAAACAAATTAAGAGAGGAATAAAATAATTATTCCACACCATTGCAAACAACTTGTGCTAGCCATTTCCATATGTTTGCAACCCCAAATTCATCCTACATTATTCCAAATGTTTCCTTTTTATACCTCAAGTGAATTGGCAGGTTCCTACTGTTGCGCTCAATTCAATTCAATCTTTCAATGTGATGCGAAAATTAGCAATTAAAGAGCAATAAAAGTAGTAATCTGTAATTTTATTTTAATTTCTAACTGACTTTTGTTTTCAAGATACCCAAAAATAATTTCATTAACGAAAAAAAATTTGTTTAATAAAATTTTAAATAATGAATTTTAAACTTCTACGAATTTTTACTTTTTAATTATTATAGAAAAATCAATGTAAAATAATAAGAATTTTCAATAATTGACAGAATATTATTTATTATTTCCTTTTACAATTCTTAAATAAATTTAGTTACCTACCACTTTATTTGTTAGAAATGAAGAGATCGGGCTTTTCGTCATTGCAAAAATAGTCTTTAATTAACTAGACAAATTTTGCAATGAGGAAAATCACGATCTCTTCATTTCAATGATCATCTCTGCGATTGTCAATTTCTTCATACTTTTATTTTATTCACTTACGTTAGGATTACTTATTGATTTCTTAAATAAATATTTGCATCTATAATCTCTTATGCCAAAATAAAAAGTTTTTTTATTATAAAAAATTAAATGTAAGGTAGTTCATGATGAAAAAATCACAATTTTTGTCATTAAATCCTGAAATTAGGAAAACTGGCAAAAGTGTTGTCGTGCAATTTTTGTCTGGAAAAGTAGTGTTGAAATATTATAAATTGGTTAGAAATACAATGCACTTCATGGAACGCCTTTTGGGATTTGAAGGAAAAAAAATCGGAAAAGTTGGAATATTTATATCCATACCAGTAGGGGGGAAGGGAGGGTCCGGGGTACGCTTTTTGAATGGGCGGAGCCTAGGGGTGGGGGAGGGTGGGGGCGTGGCCAGAAGGGGCGGAGCTCCCTCCCATTGGTGGGGGGAGGGTCCAAGATGGCCGCCGGAGGCGTGGCCTAAGAATCCAAGATGGCCGCCCGAGAATTAAAGATGGCCGCCCAAGAATCCAAGATGGCCGCCCGAGAATCAATTATAGCGGCTAATTAGCATGATTGAAGACGATTTTCTTGAAGATCTGACGTCTTAAGATCAGCCCGGGCCCGTCTCAAGATGGTTCCCGAGGAGCCGGCCCGTCTTCTAGGAGGCTTCGGTCCCCCATAAGACTCAATGCAGACCCGAGATTTGGCATTTTCTTGAAGATTTCTCTGAGATTTCTTTAAGATTTCTTTAAGATTTTCCAATTTCTTACGGCTTTCTCAAGATTTTTCAGCGTCTTTAAGAACGTCTTTAAGATTTTCCAATTTTCTTAAGATTTTCAACTTTCTTGGAATTTTCTTGAAATTTTTTTTTCGATTTTTAGATAGGATTTTACGTGTTAAATCGATTTTTCCAACTTTCAGGGCTGTATTATGATAAATTAAAGATGTTTTCGTTAGTTTTATGTTTTTTTTTTTTAATTTTTAAATTTTTTTTTTCAATACACACATTAAGAAAAGCACACAAATGTATAAATATGCACAAAAATATAAATTTATTCCATCTGAATTTCTTCTTCGTCTTCGGCATCTTCTAACACTACATTACAATTACCATATGCATAAGAAACCGTTGGATCGTCGACAGTTACAATACGCTTCGTATCGAGAGCACAAAGTGCCTTCTTATTTAATCTAACAGTGTACAAAGAATGAGAAAAATTTCTTATCATATTAAATGAGGCGTAAACTGGTTTTTGACTGAACAAAACTTTCTTATACTGCTCATAAAGAAGGTTTTTCTTAACATGTTTGCTCACGCCTTTACATTTGCTAATGCATCTCTCCTTTAACTTCAGACAGTACAATTTCGCGCGCAAACCTACAAAGCCGCTGGCCACTTCGCTGCCCAATTCATTCTTCCACTTCCCCAGGACTTGCTTGTTGTGCAAGCTGTAGCATTTACTCGAGGGATCGTAATTAGAGGTATCAAAGAGCTCCTTCATATTAATCAGGTCTTGCTCAATGTCCTCCGTTCTAAGCTTCACAATGACTGCGTCGGTGTCGATCATGAGCAAAGTCATTCTTTCAGGCCCGTAATATTTCATCAGATGTTCATAATAGAACTGGTAGAGATGGATTTTCGCGATCTCGAGAATTGCAAAAGCTACCGGATAAAGAGTGTCCATCTGAACCTTCTTATTTAGCATTTCTACAAGTACGCAATCCTCGGCAAGAATAATTCTGTCACCGAAATTGAACTGGGCAATTTTCTTTTTCAACTCATCCTCATCCTTCACCAGATATAACTTTCTGAACTTCTCCTTTTGCATGCATAATCGGCCAAAAATTGAGTTATTCATGAGCTTGATTAAATCTTTCTGGATTTTGTTAGTGGCAGCAGCCCGCCTTGCGTTGTTTTTCTCAATAAAATCTTTAAGCCACGCGCCTTGTTCGTATCTTATTACACGTTTCACTGCTATAAGCTTTAAACCATGTCTGCAAGCCAGCTGGAGCATCCTCAAATCGCATACATAATCCCGCTTATCATGTAGTGTCAAAAGTAATTTCGCGATATTGTCACCGGGTGGTTTCTTTTTTTCACACAAAAATGGCATTGGATCGTGGTCTTTGTGGATCTCCTGTGGGACGTCCACGTCACATTCCATGATATAGCCATATTTTCCAGTTACATCAACTTCTAACCAATCGGTTTCTGCAAGGTTCTCTACCCAATTAAATCCGCGAGTCGGTAATTTTTGCGACATTGCAAATCCATAAAGATTATTAGCATCATAATGCTGGATATATTCGCAATTTTGCGAGTTCAAATCATCAAAATGGCCGACGTCTTTATTTTTTACTTCGGCGTATCTTGTTGAAATCCCACATATTCCCCCTCGAAAGCCTTTCATAATCATCTCGTGCATTTCCTCACTGACAATGTAGTCTATCTGAGCACCAGTATCAAACATTGCGGCATCAAACGCAAACCCGCTAATGGAAACATAGTTAATTACGTCCAGTCTGTAAGTTTGAAAAAAGTTTTCACGTGCACAGGCAATGACATCGCAAAGCAAGGCACAGTCTAATTTTAAATAAACGTCATAAAGCATTCCCAGATTTTTACAGTTAAATAATTTATACATTTGTAGAGTCCTCTCATATTGATCAGGATCAACAGGGGAATTTGTTAATTTATTAAAGAAGGCTTCAGGGGGTGGGACTCCTTCGTATTCTAATTTCTCAGGTGAAGAGACAAAGTCATATGGAAATGCTAATTTTTTAGTCAAAAGGGACACATTTTCTTTTCCGAAAAGCTCTTCCACGGTTTTAAAACTCTCGGGAGGAAGACATGCGGCCCAATTATCTAGAGAACCCGGCAATATCCTACAGCTGTCAAGTATTCGAACGCTCTGGCCGTACCAGCGCTTAAATACCGCCTTGAATTTTGTGCCTGTTTCAGGAATTATCTCAGTTGTTCCACCCTTTGTGTGCAGTTTGTCCAAGTAGAAATTAATATCATAATTATTTCCGTTGTGTGCAAAA